CATCCTAGACAAAACACTTCCAGACTAGCTTTCTACAACCTAACCTACAACCCTAATGAAATATTAAGGACACAACTGGAGCCACTAGCAGCCTAAAAAAAACACTATCAGATATATAATTTACTCTCTATGAAATTCTAAGGTCAACCCGGTGCACTAAGCTCCCGCTATGTGCCGGGTCCGGGGAAAGGCCGGACCACAAGGGTCTATTGTATACAGCCTTACACTGCATTTTTACAAGAGGCTGTTTCCACGGCTCGAACCCATGACCTCCTGGTCACATGGCAGCAACCTTACCAACTACGCCAAGGCTCCCCTTCACCTTCTATGAAATTCTAATTCAATTATTCAACTCTCCAATAACATGATGAAAGCTATAAGATGGCATCAACAGGAGCAAACTCTAAATGTAAACAAAGATGATGAACTTACCTGGTCCAAAAGGCATGTGAAAACAACTTTAACACTAGCAGCAAGTGTAGCAGGCTGTATACAAAACGTAATGATCATTAAGTTTCTTCCTGTAGGTTTCTAACTGAGAAGTAAATCAGTTGATAAATAGATCATGTCAAGAGAATGGGATTCTAAGTGTACCAGTGGAAGACATTAAAAAAGATAAGTAAATACGACATATTTGATTACTACAAGAATTAATGCTCTACAATTGTCTTTATATACATATTGCAAATTGAGGACATGACATCGTGAAGCTTAAATTGAAGCCATTGAAAAATTAGCACCAGCTCTCCTCAATTTTCCATGGATAACTAGCATATGCATCAATGAACTTATGAGGCTGGTCTGGGCATCAAAGGAGAAATGTGATAAAAGTGTGAGATAATAGTCCTTCAAGTACTTGTTTACTAATTAATTGAATTCGTTCTCCTCAAAAGATGAAGTAACATGCAAGTAGTAATTAGTAAAATTGACAAGACTACTGACCCAGGTGTTATTGTCACAAAAGATAACACTAGTAGAACGTTTGCATCCTGTTTGCATAATAATGTTTTAACAATATCACACTTTGCTGAAATAAATAACAAAACACAAAGTCTTCTACTAAATACAGTGGAAGCACAGAGGCGACGTACATATAGGAAACAACATCCGACACTTCTGTTTTTTGGTATCCAGTGTCCAGCTGAGATGCACATACTAGCACATGTGATACGATTATCCAAAGTGTATTTTGCTGTTACATTAATTATAAAAACCTTTAAATACGAGCATCCAGAAAATGGGTATGTAAGGGATAGGGAAATACTCAAAAAGTAGAAGAGAAAAGAATACGACTCTAGGACTTGGGAGTTAAAGCAAATAGAAGGTCTAAAACTTTTACTGACAGAGGGATTCATACAAGCAACATTTGGCGACAAATTTCTAGGCTGTTGTTCAAAAACTCAAAAAGTAATTGATGGTTGGAAGATACAGTTGGGAGAAACTTTAATGGATGGGAGACTTATAGGGTCCATATGCTACTACAATTGATAGAAGCTGGCATTGGATGTAAGCGCAAAAGACTCCTTATGGTAACAAGCTAAATAGGATGGCAGATACTCACTTAAATCTTGTTATCAAGCTCCTTAGAAAAATTAAACCAGGGAACATGGTTAATTGGCCAGCGAGAATGCTTTGGAGAACTGGAGCCCCAATAAGTGTCTTGACTGGGATGTTTAACTCTACATGAGGCATATCAAGCTCAAAACAACTTGCACATAAGAGTATTTAACCTATATAGTGGCGATATTTTTATTGAGGATTTGGCTGAATCTGCAAAATGTACTGTCACACCGTAAATTTACTTGGCAATCTGGTATATTTTTTTGAACTTTAACTGAATCCAGTGCTGACGCTTTCAGTTGATAATCAGTTGGAAAGGAAAAAAGCTAAGGATCAGATGCAGGCATAGAGAAGAATTCCTTTATCTGTATTTTGGACAGTTAGGATAGAAAGAAACCATGTGTTTCGGGAGAAATCAGATAATTCTCTTGTAAAGTTTAGAATTTTTTTCAGAATTAATTAAGAATTTGGTGTAAGAGAATGGTTGCAGATGACATAGATAAAATGCTGGATTTTACAGATAGCCGACATACTTAAAGGGACAAATCCATCTATTTTGCATATAGCCAGTGCAATCTTTATGCTGAGGTCCTTTGAATAAAATGTATTTTTCTTACAAAAGAAAGCATGGAAGAGCCTGTCACTCCCTCTGTATGTATAAGCCAACTATTGGTTTTCACTATTCTACCGACCTTTCTATGAACTAAATAATTTGTTGATGTGATACGGGAATCTGCGTTTACAAGATGTCCAAAATAGAGAATCTTGCGCTTTCACTATCAGCAGTCAAACGGCCTAATTTTCAATCCAAATTCTAATCTGACTAGCCCGCGGCATCTTTTTTAAGAGAAGAGGTCAAAAACTCGATTAGATTGCAATGGATATGGTGTGAACGAAATCTACTCAGGCAATTCAACAAGCCTAATGCAATAAATAGTTCCCTTTAGTGTGCCAGGCAAAGGCAAAAGATTGAGAGATGATGAAGGTGCAGCTTCAGCAAGATCTTGAAACATGTAATATGTACCTGTAATGAAAACAAACTGCATCTGGATGTTGCTTCTTCGTTCCAGCGAACAAACTCTGTCACCACAGCTACAGAAATTTCCGGGTTAGAAAGTGCCATTGAAGCACCTTTTGAGCGTCCAATTGTCCCAGACGACTCTGAGGACAGCTGGCTTTCACTACGTAGTTCGTCCATCTGCAAATTAAAGCAAGAAGTCTGTTCAATATTGTTCAAGAGCAGGTTTCAGTAGAATGATATCCTACAGGTGGAGAACTTTCATAAACATCTAATAAGTTCAGAAGTGTCTATTATTACAATGACAATGTGGAGTTTCAAGATTGTTTAGTGCTCTCCAGAGACAGGTAGCCTTGTCAGCTACCGTGCAAAAATTCATGCAAACTAAATTTAAATTGGCGGAAGCCAATGTGGAGTAAATCTTTTGCAATTTATATGGCACCTACTTGGTGCTTTGGATCGGAAGTATCTCAAGGTTCCCAACAACCAGTTTATACCAGAATTTCGACAACCAATAAATTCTTTCCTTTATTTGTTATGATATATTTTACTTCAGGAGTTTTGATTATTTATATCATGAAAAATAACTTCTTTCAAAATTTTCTTCTTCTACTTGAGCAAAAGAGAGAAATGGATTCCTTAAACAAAAACTTGGAGTGACAGACTGTTCAAAGAGAGAAACTGCCACAAACCTTAGCTTTGTAAAGTTGCTTAAGAGAGGCTTGCTCGCACTCCACGTATATGTCTTTGTGTGGTAGAAACAAAGACTCAGTCAAACCTGAACCAGAAGAAAAATGGAGATGACAAATATAATCAACATAAACAAAGTCGGTCAAAGAAATGAGAAAAGGAAATAGTTTGTGATCAGGACAATCTATATTGGCCTTGTGGTTAAAAAATACTGAGTTGCTTCAAAGAATTCAACCACAGCGGCAGGCCACAGTTGCTTCAGAACCTTTCACTAACTGTCCAAGTTGAGAGATTTTAGAATGAAGGCTTAAATCATCCATTTACAAGTGTCTTTGTAAGGTAAATCCTTAAAGTACCATTTTGAAGCAGCACATTCTCTAAATTAAAAGCAGCCAAATGCTGATTTTGGCACTCGGTACCTCTGTTAAAGGTTATAGCACATGTATTCAATTTCAACAGCTACATTCAAGTAATAACAAGATGGTAAATGGTTACTTTTTATTTGTACCTTCAACATCCAAGTCACCACATCCTACACTTCGTAAGTCCTTAGAAAACTCTTGTGTCTTCTCATATGCAACGGCCAGCAATCTGAGATACTTAACAAGGCAAGAAAAGAGTCAAAGCCCTTAGTTTCCCTTTTTGATAAGTACAAAGGAAAACACAATCTCCGTGACGTCACTTACTAATACAAGTCCACCTTCTTCCATGGAAGGTGGGTTAACAAGAGATGGTTTCTGTAAGAGCTTCTCTAGAAGTTTTGGAACACGATCCTCCAAGACACGCTGTTCATAATCTCAATCAATTAGTCACCAGTTCCACCATTTCACTTTCTTTTCTTTGCTATACTCATTCAGAAAGCACTTTGCTGGAACGGAAACAATCAGAATATATAAAGTACAGCAGACAAATTGGAGGAAGCTCAAGACATTCATCGATAGAAATTGTCTACTTCTAAAATAACCAATGCCATGTCAAAGCACGTATGTTAATTGTTAATCCTTCTACGCATATATTGCCAAAGCTATTTAACAACATAGCCTGAGCTAGCTTAATTTTTTCAGATACAGCACCATCATACAAAAAGAAGATAAAACTAGGACTTAAACTGCCTCAAAAAGTATTAATCAACCGTACCTGAACTAATATCGACATTACATCCTTAGGGGAAGGGAAAACTGCTGCTATGGTGGTTGCTTCTTTTCGCACCGTGTCTGGAAGAGAGCATAATGTGCTAAGATTTACAAGGAATATATTTACAAGAGAAACACCTTTTTTCTAAACTTCAATCAGATTAACCTGTAATCTCTTTAAACATTGAAGAAAGTCCCTTAGCAACATTGCTAGGGCTGGGTTGGGCACCCTCATCACCAAGAACCAATTTGGCATCCGCATTCATCACCTCAATATCAAACATTGGACGTAATCCTACGTAGTGTTGCATGGCACTGGTACCCCTGTTAAACTGTTTCGATGAACGAACATGTCAAAAAATGAAGAGTTCTTTTTGATATTTGGTACATAATTCAAAGAAAGAACGTTTCAGATGTTTCCAATGGAGCACAACCAAAACTTTAAGAGACTCTGACTTGTCCAGAATATGTGAGCAAAGAAAAAGTAATCCCCTTAAGTTATTCATACATTTTGATCAGCTGCACCTTATACCATTTTTCCAGTAAGTTTCATAAAGTAATAATCTGATGAAAGAACTTTTGACAGGTCTATTGAAACTGCTTGATTTTACCTGTGACAAAATTTTAGCATATTCACCCATCCTAGTCAAATCGCGCTTCTGTGTAGCCGCATCAAATCGAGCTAATAATCTGTTTTCCAACTCTACAGGTCACCAAATAAGAAGATGACTTAGAATGTCCTTCAAGATGAAAATGTGGATGCGACATCAGAGGAAACACACACAAAAGGAAAAAAAAAAGAAATAGACGCTTTAGCTACCAAAAACCATCACAAGTAGAAAGAAAAAAAACTAGACATTCATACCGCGAATGTAGAAATCTAGAACCCCACTAGTAACAATTTAGATCTTAAAATGCAGTACTGTCTGTCAATCTCATAAAATCCATTTGAAACTAAAGAGACAATACCCCAAGTAATGGTTGACAAAATTAATTTTTACAAGTTTAAGCAGATCCACAGATCTTCACAGATGTAGCTACTTCTCCCCATGAAACTTTTTGAAATAAACACCAGTAACCTGAGCATGAATAAAAGGCATTGGTAACTCAGATGCCCTTTAAATGTACACTACCCTGCTATGATATGTCAAATTTATGTTTATTGTAAAAAATATTCAGGACTGTCACAAGTTGAGCAAATTCAAGTTAATGGCTTATAACTCAGAGCTTCAAACTGAACCATCCACTACAAAGATCAGTACAACTTCAGATTCAGAGCAGTTTGATCTTTGAAAGAGCTGGAACATAATATTCTGGTATTCATTATTCCCTTACTTTAACAACAAATGTTTGATTGACCTCTTTCCATGTTCTTTTCTCCTCTTCTTAGAGATACAGATGCACTAAACAAAAGTCCCAACATCCTTAAATAAAACGACCTTACATCTTCCAAAAAGAAAAAAAGTCAAGAGACATGTGAAAAAGGGCAACACATCGATGATATGAGTTTCATAGGTATTGTGCATGTTCATTGTTCCCGAACATGCTTCGTGCTGGACCATCCAAAGTATAAGAACCTTCTGCCTTAGTTATAATTATAAAGTCCGTCACTTAAAAGTCTTAAGCACTTCCATTGGTGTCAAATGTTCCATGCCAGACAAGAAAATCATTGTGTCAAACAACAATGTTATAGTCTAAAATTTTGATAAAAATTATAATTAGGTGACATAGTTATTGTTTAGTGCTTCCATCATCAATATAGAACCCATTGCGTGATAAGACGCAGGTCTTATTGCCTTGGTGCCTGGACTGAAGCACTACCTAAGCGAGGTGAAGCACTTAACCTGTTCAGCACCTAGGTTTATGGCCTAAAAATGCCTTTTTGTGAGCCATTGATGACACTGCCACTTGCTTCCCGAAAAGAATAAGGTAACCATAGAAGCTTATCAACTGAGGAAGCACAGTGTGAGAATGCGCATATCCTAAGAAGTATCTTAAAAGGGTTCCTCTAAGAGTTGTCAAAAGGTATTTAAAACTCCATCTCGTGTTTCTACTGACGAATAACTACTTCTGCTCTACTTTTTTCATCAGCACAAGTTCAATCAAATATTCTTCTCCTTAAACATAAAAGTGAAGTTCCAGCAGTGGATTTAGGTTCTTCATTTCTCCTTGAGGTAGCTTGTGAATTACTAGCTTGTCAAGGAGAACAGCAGTTGCAAACTTAGCAGTATTTCAAAACTATTTTACAGCTCTTGAAAAAATTCATGAGGAGCACCGAACCACAAGTAGTCAAAGAAAAGAATTGTTCACTGTTGTACCATTGCAGTACTCTTGAAGGTTTGAGATAGCAACTTCCAATCCTTTACTTGAAGTTGCATTGCCAACAGCAGAGGAGACAGTTGTTTTTTGTCTTCCAACATCTTCATCAGCAAATGATCCTGAAAACAAATGAAATGTGATTATATCCAGGGGAAAAAATCTTAGTGTTACATATCAAAGATGAAAATCTTCAGACGAAGGATATATGATTAGTCACTCAAATCCTTCCTTTTAAATCAAAAAACAAGAGAAATGTAAATGGCTAAATGCAGCAAGAAAAATTCTCTGTTGTTACAATCCTCAATCCCAAGTATTGAATCAGGGATCAAGACATTGCTTTTAGTTGTACAAAAAGAAGAAGCTAAACAAGTGGACGGCAAAATCCTCTAATATCCTCACATATTAAGGACATGTTGCGAAGTAAATATATTAGTGTTTTTACTGATAATGAAAAACAAAACCTAAAGCAACATCACCAATGGGAGAACAGGCAATTATTGAGAGAATTAAGTCATTAACCTAAACCAAAGGGCTATCAAGTTTCTCCATCGCCACTCTGAAGTAAACTCTCAGGCAGTCCCACCACCTAACCCCAAAAGTAAAAGGACACAGAGCACCCAGCCATTTGTGTCAAGTATCTCAAATGTGATGGCTCTCCACAGAAAGAGGACTAGTGAACCATTACATAGTTATCACAAAACCAAAACCTGGTATTTGAGAGATATAAGTTGTCTGAGAGTCAGAAACACTGAGCTTTCTCTGGTAAAAGTAATTAAAGGAAGCAGAATATTGCTAATTGATTTCCAATGAAGGCATCTAAACAACAACAACAACAACATACCTAGTATAATTCCACAAGTGGGGTCTGGGGAGGTAGTATGTACGCAGGCCTTACCCCTACCTGGCGAGGTAGAGGCTGTTTCCGATAGACTCTCGGCTCAAGAAAAGGTGAAAAGAGAGAGAAAGGAAGAAGACGAAGAAGAAAGAAAGAATAGGGGGACAAAGGACGATAAATGAAGGCATCTAAAGTCACTTTTATTTTTTGTAGGCAAAGGAAAACCAGATGGAAATGCCCCATACAGCCAAGCACCTTAACTATCCAAAACAGGAAAGCTGAAGTAAAAGAAAAAAAAATGAAGAGGCATAAGCAGCCAAGCAGGGGCATTTCCTTAATAGTAGCTACTAGTTACAACCAGTTACCAAGTTTGTCCTTAAGAAGGTGAGCTCAACTGAAGATTGTAAAACAAATTTTGGTGAGGAAACTTCACATTTATAGCTTTGAGAATATCCAGAGAAGGGTAATAATATTACTTAATTTCTGTGCAATTGAAGCAGCTTCAGCAACGCGGTTATCATCAGTAAATAAAGGAGAAAGTGCTGTCAGGTCTCCTGGACTTCTATTGAACTCCATCAAGTACTGTTGAATGCAAGTCAATGTAATACCGTCAATTTTTTTTTGTATAAAAATAAACACAAAAAAGAGATTCTTAAGCAAAGGATGAGTTTATGCATTGTGCACCATGAATGAGATGACTTTCAGATGGTTATTCATCAAAATGTTACCTTTATGAGCTCTATCGTCTGACTGGCAGATTCTCTCTGCGTATCTGCACTCTGACCAGCAACAAAGGTTCATTAATACCAACTTAGTCTCAACTAACTCAGGAAACAAATTGATAAAGGGAAAATTAAAAAATTTAGAACAAATGTTTTTCTTTTTGTCCTCGTAAAAAGTGGCATTCTTTTAACGGAGGAAGAACACTTAAGTTTTTCTGGGAGTAATCAAATCTTACTTTCTTACTTATGTATCAGATAAAAATAACCCAAGTCATGCATTTAATCAATTTCTTGCAACACTAGCAAAGAACAAAATAGCGAAGCTAATTAAGCAAAGATAATATTTACCTGCAAGTGATCTCCTATTTTGGCTGCAGTATGACCCACACTGGATATACGTGAATCTAGACGTGCAAAGCTACCAAACAATCCATCTACACCTTTTTCCAGCTGCACATTTTAATACTAATCAAAGCTAAGCTCTCTAGGCTTTCGTTAGATCAATGTGTATAAAGAAGCTCCATGTACCACGAAAGATACTGAACATGATTAGAAGTTCAATGTGAATAAAAGATGATGTGAGAGGCAAATGAGGAAACAAATGGTTCAATCCTGCTTTCCAGAGAGAAATATAGTAAGCACATCAAGTACATTTTCACATCATAGAGTGTCATTGAACATGTTTACTAGGACACTACTTTGTTCTTTAATTAGTCAATTCTAGTTCCATGAATTCCCATGTTCTTCCTCTCAAAAAAAAAAAAAAAAGAGAAGGATTCCATGACAGGTGAGCTAACGTTTCCAAGCAATAACCGAAAAGGTGTTCCATTAGCAAACTAATGATTTTATCTTGTGATGCCAGAACTAAACATAAGCGTGAATTTCCTGGTCTTACTGACCTCAGCAAGTGTCTTACGGTGCTTCAAGTCTTGGACAGCAACTTCTTTTTTGAGATTGTTTAGTTTACCATCAACCTTACACCAAAGACAAGGGCTTTAGATAAAAAGTATTCAGAAAGAATAAACCTCAGTGGATCAGCACAATGTCCTTTACATATACCTGCCTTTTGAGATCAACCAATTGGGTGCTTGAATTCTTAAATAAAGATAATAAAGCATCAACTTCAGGGAACAATGGGCTTGATAGTCCTTGAGCTGATTTTCCTGCATTTGACCGCAAATTCCCATTTGATAGTGCATCAATTCCAACGATGTTCCCGTGACTTTCTGATGAGTCTGCTTCTTTTTCCAGATAAGAAGGCAATAGCTCAGTCACCAAGTTACCAAACAAATCATCAAATGAATAGTTTCCCTGCATAATCCAATATAGCACATTGCTAACAATTAACAATTGAATATTTTAAATTAAGTTTGGATTATTTTCCACTCTAAATGATGACTGAGACATCACCTTGAAATCATCTACATCAAGAACTAGTGGATTAGAGTCAGAAGATGCAGATTTTGACATACGATTAGCCTGCGATCCATCTCTAATCTCTTTCATCTAGTCCACATGAAACATGATCATTTGACAAACAGCAAAAGTGAGTAAAAATTAGTACAAATATGGTGCATCAGAGAGAAAGCATCATTATTCTCATTGGCACCAGAAAATTCATTACTAAGTGATATTAGTGCATGATTGACAGCCAGTAGAAACTTAACAATAAAGATAAGACAAATGCCACAAAAATTGAAGAAAATATTGAATCTGCCCAAATACTTCTATGTCGGGTAAAAGTTGATCGGATGATTGTGGATGTAGATCTATTTTATGTCAATTTCATCTCTTATTTCACATATTCTTTGGAATAATGCATTTTCATTTGAAATCTTCCCTTTTTTGCTTAACCTTATCATGCTTGTCCAAGTAGCTGGTATTACACAAAAGTTGAACATCATAAGGGCTTATAACAACATTGTTAAGAAAATGGATCCCGCACTTAACTCAACTCCAATAGCTAGCTTAAGTGGTGAGAGTTGTTCAAAAACCACATAAGAAGACACTTAACCAATGTAGAATTCTAACACCCCACATAGTCAAGACTGGACATGTGGACTATGTCCCGAAAACTAGCTCAAGTGGTGACAATTATACAAGAACATATAAGGATACTGCAACCCATACTCTTAACCGATGTGCAACTCTAACATACATGGATTGGAGGGTCCCACTGCTCTCATAGGCTTGAATAGGCTTTAATAGGATATACAACAACAACGACCCAGTAAAATTCCGCTAGTGGGGTCTGGGGAGGGTAGTGTGTACGCAGACCTTACCCCTACCCCGAGGAGTAGAGAGGTTGTTTCCGAAAGACCCTCGGCTCAAAAATATTGCAATTGCAAAAGCCAATTCTAAGAAGCAGCGACGAAAAGAGCATATAGTGTAGTTGAATAATGACTTGCATCTTTTTGCCCGGACTACTTTGGTTACCAACGGTTCAACTGAAGATTCTCCTACTCACTCTTCTTTGAGATAAAAGACCCTTTCGTTCATGTATTGCTTATAACCATGGTGAAGGGAAGCCTTAACGTAACTGGTAAAGTTGTTGCCATGTGACCAGGAGGTCACAGGTTCGAGCCGTGGAAACAGTCTCTTGCAAAAATGCAGGGTAAGACTACGTACAATAGACCCTTATGGTCTGTCCCATCCCCGGACTCCGCGAATAGCGGGAGCTTAGTGCACCGAGCTGCCCTTTTATTGCTTATAACCATGTCATAAACTGTGAGATACTGTTAAGAAAATAGACATTGTGTCTAACTCAATAGTAAAAGCTAACTCATGAAGTGAGAAATTTCCTAAAACTATATAAGGAGACAACGGTTATGGGGCATTTAACACCTTGCATACCCAGATTGGACATTTGAAGCATGGACAACAAAACATGAGACAACATAACATGAGGGTCCCACATTAAGTAAACCAAGAATAGAGTCGGGTCTAGCTCTGATATCATTTGAGAAATAGAACACAAGAGAAATAGTTTATGGGAATGCGTACGCACGGAATTTCAACCAAGAGCTGGTAAAGCATATTTCTCAACAACCATGAACTACATTGGATTGGGAGATGGATATAAAATCATTATAACCCGACTATCCCCGTATAACTAGCCTTATTTGGTACATAGAGTAAAGTCCTTATATGCATTGAATCATAGGTTTAGAAAAGTTGATGCTACAGAATAAGCATAGCCCATTAAAATTGTAAATTTGGAGATAGCAAAATCGCCCATCAAGAACTGCATTTTATATAGTAATTATCTGGAGAAATCATTTGTATTTTGATTTTTGAAATTTGAACAAACACAAAGCTTATTTAACTTACCCATCTAAAGTTTAAAAACATAAACAATAATGCATACGAACTTTTTAAACTTAATTTTGTATTCTCACCGTACGTTATGCAATTCTTGATTCTTCTTAAATTGCTGCAGTGTTAATGTCTACTTAGCATTGATGAAGAAAAAGGGACGATGAGAGGGAGCAAGATGATGACATATTGAATCTGCAAGTACGAAAGTTTCGCGGAATCGTAATACTACTTCAAACCCATTAAAAACGTTCCACGTGTTTATCTGTGAAGAAATTTTATTTTGTATTTTTCATAACAAACATAATTTATGCGAGGCATCTCATTATTTGACAAGTGAAGACATTTATTAATACATGAAAAAAAAAATCAATTAACAAAAACAAGGGTTGATGAGGTTCTTCTACCTTTAGCTTTTTAATTTTATCCAAAAACAAAATTTAGTTTCAACCTTGCTTTTATGGTAAACAATTTATTCACCCTTTATATATTGAAGCTCCTTTAATAAAAAAGGATTTAATTGGTTATGAATTTGAAAAAGGGTAAAAAGAAATGTCAAAATTAACAAAAGAAAAATGCTAATAATTATCCGACCCATTAAAACAAATAACGCATTGCCATTTTTCTTCTTTCTTTAATAAATTAAGTGTAAACCACAAGTCCACTTGTCCTACAATGAAAGTGTCTCACATAATTTAAGTTTTGCTGTGTGAGACACAAAATAAAAAAGTTTCCTGATCCTCAAGTTATACTACATCCATAACTCAAAGTTGCTTTTACACAACACTTGTTCTATAGTAGCTATAAGATATGGAGAAATACAAGTATACAGTAATGTCAATACACTAAATTCAGCAAAGAAGCCAATAAAAGCAATCAAGATGTGCACGATTTAGGTTGTTTTTTTGAGATGTTAACGTATTTGTATATTAATATATAGACTTCACTAAATTTATGAACTCACCCATAATTACAAAATGAGTGCCCAAAAAAAGAAATTAAAACACTTATAATCCTTGTTCTTCTCACAAGGAATCTAGCACATCAAAAATGGATTCATGATCCTCCAAAAACTTTTCTTTACACCAAAAATAGAAGAGAGCTAGACATTTCATCTTCGTCTTCTGGATGTTTCTGGATTTGTCTTCAAAACATCTCTGATTTCTCTCTTCCCAAATTGTCCACCATATGCACGCTGAGACAATTCTCCATCTCTCTTTATAACTAGAAAGGCAGCCCTCTTTATTCCAGCAAGCTAGAACATCAAGAATTCTTCCCGGCATTACCCATAAAATTCCCCTTAAACTGATAAAAATCTTCCATATTTGAACAGTGAATTTGCAATGCAAAAAGAGATGACTGATTGTCTCCGCCTCCTCTCCACATAAGTAACATCTAGAGCACAAGTGAAAACCTTTCTTAATTAGATTATCTTGTATTAGAACCGCTTCTTTTGCTAGTAACCATGTAAAGCAAGCAACCTTGTAAGGGATTTTTACTTTCCATATCATCTTCCATGGCCAACATCCAACCTGGTTATTAGACAGTTGAATTCCTTATAAGCAGATTTAGGTTGTTCGAAAAACCATTATTTGAACGAAGTGAAAAAAATGCGATCTTTGTTGTATAATAGAACAAACACTAATACCTTAATTGAATCGGTCAAGATCAAATCTGTTTATCAAAGTGCTTCTCCGATTGCTCAAGACATCTCTTTTCAACCGAGGAACAAAACAAGATCATTTCGTTCCATTTTTAGTAAAATAGTGAAGGATATTCCATTAGTAATGAAAAAAGGGGTGGAGGGGATCCGTATATGTTGTTTACCAACTGTCTTTTCTATCTTTACTAGTCACTTTGTCAATTACTGAAATGAGTAAACTTCTCAAGAAGCTCCCTATGCCAAATACGCAGGAGTAAAGAGAGACCTATGCTTTTCAGTTCTGTTGGCGCCTGATCATAGAAAAACTCCTGCAGACCGATCATGGTAAATGCCTGAGAGATGCCATACACTAGATACTGAGGTATTAACCACCAGATACTCACTGGAACAGTTGCCTTCGGATTGTTAAGACGCAGAACCAGAACAGTGTCATATTCAGGAAGAGCGACATTACAGATAAGGCAATGAAAGATTCTAAAGACGCAGCTGGTATTTGGAAGTTTGACACAATAGATCTGTCCATCATCATGCCTTGCTAGGTACAAAGTGGCTGACTGGAAAAAAACAATGGCAAATACCAAACACGTAGTCCATATTGGAGTCAACCTAAGAATTGCCTTAGCCTCTTCGACGTCAACGAAGCTGCAAACTTTTCCATCTTCCTCAGAACCATCAGGTGCAAGCAATGTTTTGTTAGGGAACCTGTGATGTACAAAAACTTGTGTCAATTGGATAGAAATGTCTGTAGATCAGAAAGGGCAAACAATGAAAATGCCATACACTGTTGCGTGGGCTTAATAAACAGCAAGCTTAATATATACATTTCTCTGGAAGTTTAACATATCTAACGACTAGAGGAATGTATAGTGCAATTTAATCCATCCGAGAAACACGTACTGTCACACTACAGATATAAACAAGTTTGCAAGTTAGGCCTTATCCTGTGCGATCTTTAATTCTAAGAAAGCCAATTCACACTAGTTCAGCCATTTCAGAAACATTACTACTATCCAAATCTATAGGACTAGAATGGGAGTTACTTTCTCCTCTAACTTTCAGCAGATGATTGCATGACCTGTAGATTAGTGCTTTTATTTGTCCAGACGTAATGTATACATAATAAAAAGGGAACATACTTGAAATCTTGAAAACCACCATGAGGTAGGATACCATGAGCTCCAGTTCCAAAGATATTGCTGATGCAGTTGTTTTTCGGTTCCTAGCTGCACTAATAAACACACGAGTAATTCTAACAACTGGATTCTTCTCATTACTTCTTTTTTGTATCCGGTAAGTGAAAGTTCCAAGTACTAATATAATGAGTGAAAGGCATAACAATACAAGGAACTCCAAACCAAGAGAAAATTTCAAACAGATAAAAGAAATATGACATCAACAAATGGGCAAAAGCAAAGTAGAGCATCTTTCATAACTGAACTTTTCATTATAAACAACAAGAATGAACTTAAAAAACATCATCTACATTGCACAAAATCAATTTTGTTGGTATTCCTTGACACCAACATAATCTAAACATCCTAGTTTATGTTGAGGTTTTATTTTTAAGATGTAATATTCTTAAAATGAGGGTGAATGGGAAATGGAGGG